TGGAGAAATGTAGCATTGCATCAGTGTCTCAGCAATGGATGCTCTGCAGTGAATGGGTGCCGTCAGATTGAGAGTCCAAACAGCTGATAAAAACATCACAATAATCCACACCACTCCAGTCCATCAGTTAACATCTGGAGAAGACAAAAGCTGCGTGTTTGTGAGACATTATTCACTTCAGACCATTGCTTCCAGCTAAAATATAAGTCCATAATCCATAATAACTCTTCCTCCAGTAAAAAAAGTGGTCTGGTCTGAATCAGGAGAGAAATCTGCACAGATCAAGTACCGTTTACAAGCCAAAACAGTCCAAAACAGCAGACTGTGGGAGAATTTTGATGTGAGAGACAACAGGAGATGGACTTTTTTCACTGGAGGAAGAGTTGTTATGGAATATGGACTTATAGTCGAAAGCAACAGTTTGAAGTTAAAAATGTCTTGATGGATTTGTTTCCGCTTTTGTCTTCTCAAGACGTTAACGGATGGACTGGAGTGCTGTGGATTATTGTGATGTTTTTATCAGCTGTTTGGACGTTTTCAGCAAAAGTTCATTTTTAAGTGAACTATTCCTTTAAGAATGTATTTTTGCACAGAAGACAATTGTGGGTTTATTACGTCTGTTTTTATGTTTATTAGTTGTTGTCAGAAGCGATGTGTTTCCCAGCATTCCAGCTGCACTCTGCCTTGATGATTTAAAACTGCAGGCCTCTTTATCATGACAAATAAATCAAGTTTTTCATTTAAATGCACATGTAAAAATATCATTCTGATATCGTGCTCATTTATATCCATAATAGTGAACTCTAGTGAGAAGGTAGTTTGAGCCTTCTAAATTCTAAATACCTAGAATCTCAAATAAACTCTTTTGTTAGACAGAAATTTAAAACACACTCTGTATATTCCTCACAAATACTCCAGCTGCTGGATTTTCGGGATGAAATCAGGCTCATTTTGTGTAATCCTAATAATGATGTTTAAAGAAAAGTGTGTTTGGGAGTCAATGACATTCAAGTCTTGAACCAGAAGCTCTCAGGATGACATTTATAAGGAAGTATTCTAACAGCTGACTCTCGTCGCATTGGGGATTGCAGGAATGAATATGCAGTAAACAGTGATGAAATATGGGCTATTGCTCCCAAATGTGTTTGGATTCTACTCTGAGTGGCTCCCCAGACCACACGACTGCACTGGGAAATGAGACGGCTCAAATCTGGACAGTTTCAAATCTATTACAATAGGCAAGGCCAATTAAAGTAACGCAGCAGACAGATGATGTCTGAGAATGGTGCTCAAACAAAAGTGTGTTTTTTAACCTGATGAATTTGTCTTACGTAATTAGTGTATCTAGCCATCAGGTTCTGAGGCTGTAATCAGTGACTTCACCACTAGAGAGCAGCATCAGGTTACGCTTTGACATGAAAACATCAACATGCACACAGTTCTCAGTCAATGCAATGCCAAGTTTTCCTCTAATTATGCATGTGAATATGCATAATTAAATAATTGTTTTGAAAATATAATTCATGTAAATTAAGCAAAAGCTTTTTCTATAGGGACAAAATCATTAAACAATGCAGTTACACTTTTTTTTAATGGCCAACTTGAATGAAATCATGATTATTTGATGATAGCGATTTTCCTATTTTACAAATTTAAATGTATTATTTGAACTGGAACGTGTAGCTTTTATAGAACTATTAGGTTATGTTTTTTTTTACATTCATGCACAATTCTGAAAAAAAATGCCACATTTATATTTCTGATCAGTTTTTTTATTTATTTAGAACATTTAAAAATATTATAAAACTAGGTAATGTATGGAAATATCAGTGCATTTGACTATAGAGTCAAACGTATTTTATTAAGAACTTAAGAAATTGAATGTTATTCTTGTTTCTTAATGAAATCAGAATTTAATGATAAGGATTTTTTTATTTTACAATTTTTATAATATTTTATAATTTGACTACTGCAATAGGTAGTTTTTATAAAGTTTTTGTTGTTTTTTACATTATTCAAATTGACTTGCCTCATACATATTTCTGATAAATGTTTTTATTTTTTAGAACATCTTTGAATATATAAAACAAATGTTGTAATGTATGGAAATATTAGTGCATTTGATTACCGAGTGCATTTAATTAGATAAAATGAATATATAATTTTTTTATTGTTTTAATATTATATACATTTATTTTTTAAGCCATGCTTTGAACACACACCTACTCTCATTTGTTGATTCATATATTTCAAAAGAAGAAGGATAGCTGGAAATGATCACTTCATCTTTAAGAGATGCGTTCCTTCCATTAAACGTCGCGTTATTGCACTAATTCATCATGCGTTTGGGATCACGAACGCAGTCTTATGTTCTAGAGCTGCAGAAGCATCTGGCTTCCTTCAAGAGCGATGACTTTCAGTAAACAAGTGCACAATCGATCACTGCGGACCATTAAGGGGCCTTATCGGGCCAGCAGGATCTCTGTGGGTGAATCTTCTGTCGCTGAGTGTCGTGGCGCTTCAGCTGGATCTCAGACAGCACCCTAATGGTTTGTTATGACCTTTCCGCGTTTCCATTAGTCTCGCTGTTATTTAACACGGAGCTTTTGATTTAACCCCGTGTATATTGAACGAGAAGAGTAAGTGGCACGTCTGGATTCCTTTACGCACGAAAGGCCAAAGACTGCGCCGCTCATGTAAACACAAGCATTGAAACTGCACCGATATATCGGGCCTTCCCACATTATTAGCAGCAGCGACGATCAGAGAAATCTACTCATTGGATAATACATTTCATCTTTGCTTTTTCCCCCCTAGTAAATTCTGAGTAAACATTGTGTAAAATAAGAGATTCATCTCATTTGCTGTAATTAAGGCCTATACTTAGGCCTACTTTAGTGGTATGAGTCACTGAAAAAAATGGTTAAGGAAGCGTTAAACAAACCATTAGGCCCGTTCACCGTATTTTTGCACGACGGAGGCAATGTTTTCTTTGAATGTCCAGACTCCCGATTCATTAGCCGCTATCGGTAAATAACTTGAAGTGCAATTAATTTGCGCCACAAACCAGTGTGTTTATAAATGTAATACATTAAAATAATATGATACAAAATATCAGTTTGCATTGCAATATCAAGCAGCAGAACAGACTGTTTTTGTACAGGTGAAATAAATGGTAGCAAATAAAACCGGAAACTAATGGCGCGCCGCTCTTACGTTAAAAATAAGGTGGATAAAGACTTTTAGGGTGTTTTTAATAAAGGGGATAGTGTGAGCTAATTGTAGTTCTTATGTCTCGAAAATGTGTATCTATTGTTGTTTTGTGTCCAGAAGAACTTCCTGGCTAAAGTGGAACGGGATTTTTTTTCTACAAGAACCTGTGAGCGTCCTCTTCTCCAAAAAAAATGTTTTTGTTAATTATATACAGGCATATGTGGAAATGCAAAAATATATATATATATATATATATATAAACATAAATAAAGAAACGAATTTACGGCGCTGGACACAATACAGGCGTAGATAAAGATAGGAATGCAGATATGGATATGGACAATAAAGATATCCGGAAACTCTGGGTTGAACCAGTTTTCTTCCGTATAGACAATTCCATTGTAGACCGATACTTTCATCCTAGATATTTTGACCTGAGCACGATATTCCATCATATTTATTTATTATTATTTTTTTTTCAAAAGACAACATTTTTAAAGGAAGCAAATCACTGTTTATGTATGGGTGGGGTATAATGATAAAGGATAAAATAAGTTGTCTAAAATATCTTATATAATCTTTTAACGAAATGATTAGAAATAATTTCAAGTATGACTAACTTTTCATAATACAAATACTGAATAGGTTATATTGGAACACAACGCGTGCACACATTATATATGAATTATGAGAGACAAAAGTCGAGAAATTGAATTGCGATTAATTGTATAATGTTAAGAACGTAGAAGCTTTAAGCCTATAGCAAGCAGAAAATTGGAATCTTTAAAATATGATCTGGTCTGATTACATTTAATTTTTTAAACAATAATATATACATTTAAATATATAATAAAATCAAATAGATTTTATTTGAAACACTGACAAAGATGCGTGTTGTGAGAGAGATGCATGGAATGTTTTAGGCTTAATTGTTTCTGTTAAATTCCATGTGTTAATAGTTAAATGACTACAGGGAGATGCCAGCGGTCGGTCAGTTTTATGACCCGTTTTATGATCTCGGTCACGAATATTTCACCGGGCCTGAACTAAAATGAATTAACGTGCGCCTTCACCCGCGCCGCGTCTTCCGCATCCTCTTCCCTGGATTGTTTTGACTGCTTGATCGAGAGCAAAGCGCTACATTTCAGCTCTAAATTTAAACCGGAATGGAGTCATTCGAAAACACCGTGATAGGAGGCAGTCAGGGTCATTGACCTTTCCGGTAATGAATCACGACTAATGAACGCCATCAGAGGAAGAGAGATATTCTAAAAAACACCACGGGGTAAAATCATCTGCTGTCATTAATGATCATAAACATAACATATCAATCAACATCTGTAATGCATTCTAGAAATGCTTTCGCACGTATATGCATACATATTTTATATAAATATGCTTGTGTTTGTTTATAGCCTATGCAATTGGAAAGTGTGTTGACAGACAGATGTAATACTATTATTTTATTTTAAAATCGATCTGTTTTTTGTTTTGTATTTTTCATGATAAACAGCGCACTATTTTTGGCCCAGTAATGTAAAGTCGTGCATATGGATGAAGTATCGCCTCTGAAGTTAATTGTGTTTTCGTTTCAGCGGAGAATAGATTTCCTCTGTTTATTATAAGCATAAGGGCGGATTTGCGTCACCGCGCGACTTGCGAGTTGAGATAAAGTTGCACAAATATTGAAAAAAGGAAATGCTAACAGTCATTATAAAGTCCCACCTCTCCGAGTCGGAGGAAATAGGGGTCCTCTGCTGTATCCTAAAATACTAAAGCATCTTCTATTTTTGGCCTAAATCTAGCAGGAATATCCGCTCGTTTAGCCTGAATCAGAGCTCATCAAAAACAGGATGACCTGCATCGAGAAACTCCTGTTTCCTAATCCCAGAGCAGAACACGCTCACAGGCGTCTGAATAAAGCACTTGATTGTGGATCGTTTTCTTATCAGAGTTTGCTGTTTGCATATTTCTGGAAAATTAGAAAACATTAGAATGCATGCAAAACCTCGTTATTATTCTTTATGCGAATGCATCATTTACATTACATCATCTTCTAAAATTATCATCTTAAATAATTACACTCTAAAAAATGCTGGGTTGTTTCAACCCAACTTTGGGTCAAATATGGACTACCCCAACTTTTGGGTTAAAAATTTAATGTAAAATTTTAACCCAACAGTTGGGTTAGTCCATATTTGACCCAAAGTTGGGTTGAAACGACCCAGCATTTTTTAGAGTGTACTTTCCAATTATCCTTAACTGTGCACCATTAAAACACTATTAAATGTTGGTCAGTCTTTCTAGTTTTATATAGCCTAATGCATCCAAGTAAACCTACAATAAGTTCACTAAAGTAAAAAAAAAAAAAAAATTGTGTATTTATCCATTCGCTTATATTTAACAACTCGTTAAATAGCTAAATGAATGGGCTTCACTGCGTTTTTTCTAACATCAAATTAAAATTACAATTTGATTAATTGAAAATGAAGACACAAACACTGAAAATGTTTAATGTTGTATCATTTGAAGCATCGCTATTTAATAAACGTGGTGATTTTTAAGAGTGGTAATGGACGTGCTCGTCGTGTTTGGGGCGTGTTGGACCGTTCTGTCAACTTCCATTGGCTCACAAAGAGCCAATCAATAGCGGAACTCCTGCTTAGAGCTTTTTGGACTCCTGTCTGGAGTTTCATACTTGAGGAGAAACGCGAGAGAGGGCAACTCCTTAAACCTGACCGTCGCGTTACATGTAGTTGTGTGCGATTCTCTGTCAAGAAGTTTTGGCTTGCCTGCCAGGATGTACACGGCGGGACTCAATCCGTTTTACGCATCGAACTTTAGCCTTTGGACCGCGTACTGTTCGGGCGGTTTTGGGGTGGACAGCATGAAGAAACCCTCGTTCTGCATCGCTGATATTCTGCACGTTGGAGATGCGGAGAACCTCCCCGGTTCGTCTTCGCTTATGGCTCACATCGGGGCCCGAGCGCAGCTTCATTCGTCGGGATCCCCGTTACGCCCGTCGCCGGTCACTCCAAGCGCATCCGCGTATCACAGGCACGGAATACACTTGACATCCAGAGCCGCGATCAACGCGCAATACGCGCCTCCGCCGTCCAGTAAAGACCTCAAGTTCGGGATTGATCGGATATTATCCACAGACTTCGAGCCGAAGGGAAACGAATCGCTATCGTTGAGAGGTAAGACGTGTTTTTGTGCATCGCACACATAGGGTTTTCCTATAGTAAACATCACATCGCATTTACGAAAAGGACAAAACAATTAGATTAACTCAGAATAGCAATGCTTGTTTGGACGCGTCCAACCCCACGCGCTTGTTAATTAATGATGAGCATAAACATAACATACCAATCAGCATCTGTAATGCGTTCTAGAAATGCTTTCGCACTTATATGCATACACATTTTATATAAATATGCGCGTGTTTGTTTAGCCTATGCAATTGGAAAGTGTGTTGACAAACAGATGCATACTACTATTATTTTATTATCGATGTTTTTGTTTTTCCTTGATAAACGGCGCACTATTTTTGGTCCAGTACTGTAAAGTCGTAACATATGAATGAAGTATCGCCTCTGTTATTGAAAGGCAATACGAGTTTAATTGGAACTAATTGGTGTTTGTCGTTCTGTAACAGATCTCACATCGATTGTTAGTCCGAATCGGCAGTCAGCAGTCCATGTGTCTGCAAGCCCGTACTTCGCGTCCATAGACCCGACCATGAGCGAAACCTCCTCCATGATGGGTTCAATAAGCAATGCCGCCAGACAATCAGGGCAACATCAGTTTCAAGACACCTTCCCAGGTAGTGTAGACATCCCAGTCGAGCCCTAAAGAGCAGGAGAACCTGCACGGATGACACGTTCATTATTATATTGCACTGCCTTATTTTGCACGCGTGTGCGGTGATAAGCCTATTTTGCTCATGCAATTAAATAACATGCACTTTGGCCAAAATGCATTGAGGTTTTGTTGTGTTCTAATGGCGTGTGTGCTGTTTGACTCAAACAGGGCCGTATGCGGTGCTTTCCAAAGACACAATGCCACAGACTTACAAGAGGAAGAGGTCGTGGTCCAGAGCCGTGTTCTCCAACCTGCAGCGGAAAGGCCTCGAGAAGCGCTTTGAAGTCCAGAAGTACGTCACGAAACCGGACAGAAAACAGCTGGCTGCGATGCTGGGCCTCACCGATGCACAGGTGAGCGACTGATTATCAATGCAAATTAATTCATGATTAAAAAAAAATGAAAACAATTAGCTTTGGCCTGCGGAGAGCCATCTAGAGCGTTAGCAGCTGGAGCATTGCGACACCCGCGTTTCTAGAGAAATGAAAGTCAATTATAACGAATTATTGCAAATGCAGGAGGGGTGCAGTTGTTTCGTTTCAAAACATCCTAATTTAAGGCATTGGGCAAGAGTTTCTGTCTTATTTGATATCGGAAATGACACGACAGACAGCAAAAGCGATAAGGAGTTTCAAAACTTTCCAGTCAAGTGTGGAAATATATATTTTTTTTCTTCTTCTTCTTCAGTAGACCCGTATTTTCACTTGGACATTTCAATTAATTGGAGAAAAAAAACTGTTCGATTTAGTTTGTGCCTGCATTTCTGTATTATATAAAAGTTTTTTTAAATTATAAAAAATACTGTTAAATACCGATACCGTCAGTATAACTAAACCAAATTTAACAATGCACGTTCATCTCTCATTGCCATCTCAAAATAGTGCAGTGCAATAAATAATAATACAAATGCACAATTAAATGCTCTTGCTTTTCTTGTTTTAGGTCAAAGTTTGGTTCCAGAACCGGCGGATGAAATGGCGCCATTCCAAAGAAGCGCAGGCGCAGAAGGACAAAGAAAAAGAACAGCCAGAGAAATCCGCGACCGAAACCGAACCCAAAGAACGCGAGGACTCCGAATGCGAAAGCGAACCGAGCGAGTCCGAATTCGAGGAGGGAGCGGAGGACAAAAGCGACGTGGACATTTCTGACCTCAACAAGGCTTTTTCGCCCTGAAAAATGTGAGCTGGGTGAAATTTGGCGTCCAACAATAAACAGAGAGCGAAGAGCTTGGATTTATAGTTTGTATACATTCGCCGGCTCTAGATATCAGCAACAGAGCGGATGAGTATGTTTTATGAATGTAGGTTGAGATCTGCGCATCAAAAACTACTCCATTTATGGACTCTGGCTGTCTAAGCTACACTTCACATGCCATGTAATGAGGCGGAGTGTATAATGTCACGGCGAAACTATTCGAGGATTTAGACAATAATCCATCCAGAGATATTACAGCCTCATGACATTACTATTAGTGTATATTTTACATCTTCAGATGAGTTATTGCACATTCAAGTATTGCAAAAAAAGAGGTTTTCTCTGGTTTATTAAACTGTTGATAAAGAGACAGGCCGTTTACATGAGGCTGTGATAACAGGCAGTTTATGCAGTTTAATGAGTTCAGTTCATAAAGCGATAAGAGCAGCTACTGCGAAACGATCCAGATGAACATTCATGAAGAGCAGATTCATAACAGCGATGCGTCAGAGCGCCACAAAGAAGCGTTCAAGTCTATAACCCAAAGCAGGCCTGTTAAGGGCATTAGTGTCTGTGAGAATAATTAGGATTTAAAAGACATTCATAAATCTGGAACATCCCAACAGTTTGTCTGTCCCAGGAAGACGGCGAAATCACAGTGAATGAAGTCAGTGGTGTGGGGGTGAGCATGTGTGTGTTTGTGTCTCTCAACTTTATAACTTTGAATGGCAAGTGTGCAAAAGTGACTTATATAGATAGATACATAATACTTTATTCAGCAAGGATGCATTCAATTGATCAAAGTGGCAGTAAAGGCATTTATGTTACAAAAGATTCTATTTCAAATAAATGCTGTTCTTTTGAACTTTTTATTCATCAAAGAATTCTGAAAAAAAAAAGGTATCACAGTTTCCACAAAAAAAAAAAAACCCCTCAGCAGCACGACTGTTTTCAACATTGATAATAATGAGAAATGTTTCTTGAGCAGAAAATCTGCATATTATACTGATTTCTTAAGATCATGTGACACTGAAGACTGGAGTAATGATGCTGAAAATTCAGCTGTGCATCACAGAAATAAATTATATTTTACAATATATTACAATAGACAACAGCTATTTTAAATTGTAATAATATTTCACAATTTTATGGTGTTTAGTATATTTCTGTCAAAAACAAAACAACAACAAAAAATAAAATCGAAAAAAAAAAAACTTACCAACCATATGTCATCAAGAAAGACCATAAATAATATGAAATCTAAGTTCATATCACCATAATAAAGTCATTTTGTTTATCTTTGACTAACACACACACACACAGACATGAAAATCTCAGTAAAGCAGAGCTCTGAACATGAATGATTTCACCAAAGACCACCTGAAGCACCACAAGCTCTACTTTCCTTCGTTCCGGAAAGAAGGATGACCTCTGGAGATCTCCGGTTTTTCCACTTAAGCCCACATATTGAATTCCACTTCAGGACATTCCCGCTCGCCCGCGCTACCTGCAGACGGCCTGCTTCACGCGCTCTTTTACACCAAAACCTAATACATCAGTCACACATACAGATGCTGCATTTACAGTTGCAGCTTAATCTCTTTCCATGGAAAACGTTTATCTGCGAGCCGACCTCATAATGCACGCATAAATTGCCCGGTCTGAGCCGCAGTGTCAATCTCAAATTCTCCTTCACGAAGTTGTGAATTACGTTTGTATGCGCAAACATGCAATAACAATAACAGTGCAAAAGCTTAACATAATACTGCAGCGTTTGATTTGTGAACTGTCTTCAGAGCTTTTATGATCACTCGGAGAAATCCCATCTGGCCCAGGATTTAAAGTCCGCCGTTTCTTCACTATTTAAAGAGCGAGTCGAATGTCCCTCTGACCTCGACACAGAGCAGCTCGCAGGCCGAGATGTTTTGAGTAAGGAGCTGCTTCAAATAAATTAGGGCTCTGTGTGTTTTCGCTTCCAAACACATTTGCGGAAGGATTAATGTGACTGATTGGGATCTCGGTGGGACCAGAGCGATTCGCCGATGGAGCCGCTGATAAACTGACCGTGATTAGCTGCTGCAGAGTTTAACTCTCCAGAATGTTTCAGGCCTGTAATGCAAGTCAGTCCATCGATAGATCAAGTTTGAAAAATGTAGCATTTTCCAACAGTGAATCAGGAAGCATTACCTTTCCAAAAATAAGTATTAGTTAAATTCTCAAGACTTCAAAAAAAAAAAAAAATTCTACATATTTTGTGTAAATTATAAGTAATGTATGTATGTATATATATATATATATATATATACTGTATATTCAGCATCATTACGTAATTGTTTTCTTCTAAGAACATTAGGTTACACTGAGGTGGCACTAAATGTGTTTTATTTGGTTTAGTCGGTGCCAGTGAAACATTAGACCGTTGTCCTGCGCTCTCTGTCTGATTTATGAGGTAACGCAGCGGTCTGCTCTACAAACGACACACCTCTGACGAACAGCTTCTACCAACTACAGAAAATATAACACTACTGCCTGTTATTTAACATCATGTCACAATGATTCAATAACCATCGCAGTCCATTTCAGTGGAATAACACTGCTGAATGCATTCATCAACGCCTTCGCTAGTCCCGTGAAGGGTATGCTGTTGTTTTAATACAATTAGGACTAGAATTACGAGCGTTTTAGATGCTTAACTTCACTTTACTTAAAACACATAAAATGTTAAATAAATACAGAGCACAAGAATATTGTTCATAATGTGTTAAAACCACAAATAAGGGCAGATGACACTTCTGAGATTAAGGCTTTATAACTGATTTAAAAGTTTGAGGTGTTATAAGTGCAGACGGAGACAGCAAACCCTTCACCTTAAGAAAAACTTCATCTTTATTATTCGGTCTATAAGACATGATGGACTGTGGCAGGACTTTGGACGGCATCCTATTATCACAACTCTGTTTTTCTAGTTAAGTCACGTTTCACTCTCAATTATAATTGCTCGGTTCTCATTCAAAGAAAGTGAAATTTGCAGCCCTTTTTTTACCTCTGTAACGTGACATTTCAGAGTGAATATGGGGTTTAAACCAGAAAATCTACTAAAATACACAAAAAATTCTAAATAAAATTAAAATGGCAAATTTTGGCTAATATTATCCAACTCACACAGTGCTAATTTCTAAGGCTCTAAATGATCAACATGATTAAAATTGGCTTAAAACCTATTGCACACAATCCAGTAAAAGCTCTTTTAGTGTAATTGTACAAACGTCCACCATCAGCTGCTGCTTCACGTGTCTTTCTGCTGTCAAATCTCGACTGGTTTTGATCAAGTAAAGGTCAGAATAACTGCAGTAATATCTCCAGATGAACTCTTACTGGACTGAAGCAGCTCAGCTTTACTTGATTCTCCATCAATCATGTTTTAGCGTCTCAAATCTGATCCTCAGGATCTTTTGAGGAGCGTTTGTTTCCAGAAGCTTTACTTTCACTGTTCCTCAGCGGAGGAATGATCTTCACAAGCCTCCAGAACATCTCACGGTTATTTCTTCATCTCTCAATCAGCACTGGATTGCATTGCATTATATGTTTGGATCATTTCAATCTCATCTTACTGAGACATATTATTGGAGATATAGGGTGACGAATTATATTTATAGCATTTTATGTAAGTATCCGCTATACTGTTATAAAAGCATCAGAATTTGATCACTTTTTGGTCATATAAATATCAGCATCTGCACCAAATTTAGGCTTCTAAATGAGCTTTTTCCTCCATATTCTTATTATATCAGACTATATGAGTCATAAAAGCCTGATGGATCAAAATATAAAACACATATACAAACCTTTTTATATTTTTAAAAACATTTTGTCTAAAGTTTTAAATAATGTGATTTTTCAGCCTAGTATTTCATATGTAAGTCTTCACAGGGTTAATAAATTAAATAGTGCCTTGATTTCAGACGAATAAACTGCCACGTCATTATGCCTTAACCTTCTCATTTGTCTATAAATTGCTAAAAATCATTGCTTTTACACGTTTCCTGCATTGAAGTGTTAAAGTCTTCAGCGTTTCGCATGCTCACGGCCCTGAAAACCGATCTGGGTACACGGGAGCTGTCGCCACATTTCCAAAAAGCTGCATTATCGAGCGATTTTCTAACATGCTCGCAGTTTCCAGGCAACTTGGCTTTGCTTTTCCACAAACCAAAAACGTTTGCCAGCCAGTTGGGAGAGGGTGAGGAAAAGAGAAAGAACGAAAAAAAAAGAGAGTTTAAGAGGCATCTAAAGTTAAATTTAAAGATGTGTTTCTTTTGGACGCCCGTCTGCGCTGCCATAAACCAAGGGAGACATTTTCATACTCAACATTTTTCATGGTTTCGCTCTGAGTTTCCTCCCTTCCTCTCGCTCCACCTTGGCTCTGGTTACGTGCTGCGGCCCTTGCTGCAGACCACAGGCGACGG